ATCAATTGTCCACTTGATTGCCGCTTCGGTGATCTCGTGGTAGCGTGCTCGCTTCGACAAGGAATGATACCGATCTCACGTTTCTGGAATAACCGTCATCAGGTATGACGTATCAGTATCACAGAGATATGAAATACACTTTCTTGGAATATTCAACACGTGATATATTTGTCATGCGTACAATTGACGGAAGAGTAGAATTCATGAAAGTTATTACTCTAAGAAAGTTTCTTTATTACAGTTTTAATATCTGTTTGTATCTAGTTTGTACTTACGGTCAGTAACTGGAATAAAACACAGAAATGTATGGTTAATAATGTGCTTCTCTATTCATTTATAAAAAGTAAGAAGATGTGATATAATTGCCAATGAGACCACTCTCTTCAAGAGACCAAATTAACAACTATTAGTCCCCGTACGGCTTTCAACAATGAGCAAAATCCATACCGCATAGTCAGCTATAAAAGGCCCCGAAGTGACAAATGTAAAAAAATTCAAACGAGAAAACTAATGGCCTAATTTATGTACAAAATAATGAATGAAAAACAAATATGATACACAGAAACAAACGACAACCACTGAATTATAGGCTCCTGACTTGAGACCGGCACAGAATGTGGCGGGGTTAAAGATATTAGCGGGCGCCAAACCCCAAATTTAAATTTAATTCATTTAAAAGCAGCTCTTTAAATGAAATTGCAACTGACAAAGATCCTTGTAGTATGTATTGGTGAGAGTTCTATGCTTTGACGTGATGAACACGTTGTTTACACGCTTCAATGTGTAGTACATAACGCACAAATTATTTAATGTTATCAATTAATATTGGAAAAATTTGACAGCGGATTTTTGTTGACCACGAATAAGATTGTGGGTTGTACTAAAACACTAGAAACAGCTCATTCTTCCAGAATACGTTCATCCTTAATTTTAGATGGGTATATATTTGCGTTAAAGGAGGGACGAAAGATACCAGAGGGACAGTCAAACTTATAGATCGAAAGCAAACTGACAACGCCATGGCCAAAAATAAAAAGACAAACAGACAAATAATAGTACAGATGACACAACATAGAAAACTAAAGACTAAGCATCACGAACCCCACCAAAAACTGGGGGTGATCTCAGGTGCTCCGGACGGGTAAGCAGATCCTGATTCACATGTGGCACCCGTCGTGTTGCTTATGTTATTACAAATCTGGTAAATAGGCTAATTCTTTAGGTCACATTCGTGAAAAGGGAAGAGTATTGTAGTTACGACATAAGGAACATATCCGATATCATCTTTGAAACGGTTATTCCATAACGGTCAACCAACTCGTGATGGCGTCCGTAAAATTTACGAAGGGATGATTTCAACTGCACCATTTTGGTTTAATAGCTTCATTGTGAGCAGCAATCCTCTATCAAGGAAATCATGATAGGAAATACAAGCCCGGGAATATCGTTTCAATTGTGAGATATATACTCCGTATGCAGGCGCTGTTGGAATGTTGCTACAAAGAAATGGAAAGTTCACAATTGGGAAGCTGAAATCATCTCTTTTGTCGTAAAGTTTTGTTTTCAACCGACCCTCATTGTCAATTTCTAGATGTAAGTCAAGATATGAGGCAGATTTAACTGTATCTGTATTATCCTTTATCTCTAGTTCGATGGGATAGATTCGTTCAACATAGTCACCAAATTTTGTATTATTTAGTGAGAGAACATCATCTATATAGCGGAACGTGAAGTTAATTGTTTTGTGCATAGTGGTTTCTGTTCTGATTTCCCTTTTCCCCTAAAGACTATCTTGGTGTGTGGCTTTCTTAGAGTTATAATTTTTAATAGGTTCCAGATATATTCCTCATTTATGGAGGAGTCTTTTTGGCCATGACGTTGACAGTTTATTTTCGACTTGTTTTCGACTTTCGAGTTGGAATGTCCCTTTAGTATTATCGCCTCTCTTTTGAAACCTATCGTCCCAGTCAGTTTTATAGTACATATTTCATTCATCTATTGCCAGTTCAAATTGATTTTCAAAAACAATTCTGAAAGCTCAAAATCAAATCAGCATTCTTCAGAGTCTTAATTACCCTACCCGAGTTGATGTTATTCCCGATACATATAGGTCATTGATCAATTACCTTTATCGCATGTTGTACCAGTAAATCCCGTGAGACAGGCACATTTAAAGCCTGATAACATGTTGATACATGATCCATGATCACAAGGACTGGACCTGCAATCTTCAAAAAGAATATATAATATAGATTTCTATATAATACGTTTTCAAATTCAGAGCTTGTGTGTGGTATTTTTCTTTTTGAATTATGTCTGGAAAATTGCCCATATTACTGAAACTGGTTTTTTTTTTAGGGTACTTTGAAAAGTTTCTCCGAATGAAACTGTTAGAAAATATGATAATGGTACCTTTTTGCAGTTTTTGGATTCGAATTCAATGTGTTTTAAATGTCATTAATGAGACATTGGAGCATAACACATAAACTTAACTCGGGGAGAAAGTAACATCATTTAACAGCTTGAATAATTTTATTTGATGTTAAGTATTTTTTCTTGTGTCGTTTTCAGATTTTGTTTATACGTGTAAATAAATCAGGAAGAACGCATGTATAATTCTTTTTAATTATTCTTAATAAAGGAGGTATCAGGTATAATTCAATTACACAGAAATCTAGAAAGGATATGTACAATGCAATTGTGTTACGCTATAATTTGTGTTAACTTAATAGGTACTAGCAAAGAAAAGGAAACCATCATAGCGAATCGAATAAGTGGTGTGGGATCTCAATTTTCATATCCACATCACGACTGGAGATAACACTAAAGGTAGTACATGCACTCAAAATCAGTGCAGGATAAGCGCTTAACTATATGATAACGGTTTGAAAGATAACCATTAAAAAGTAATACCGCATCAAATAATACTCGCAGTAATTTTTTAAAATCTGAAAGTTTTTAACCCTTTGAAATCATTTCGCTCCCCTCACATATCGTCAGCTGGTCTTCAGAGTTTATTGTTTGCAGGAACGTAATGAACAGGCCAGGGAAACAGGATCTTGTGTTCTTAGAAATGGAGAAATTATTTTAAAGTTATGGTTATTGGGCGAATTAAGATTCATAAGAGTGAAAACTGGTATTTCTCATTTTTTAATATTTTGTCCATCTCGACCGGAAAAAAACTTTAATCATATACTGCATTGGCATTAAAGGACAGAATATTTTATGTGTTCTTTATCTATTCCTCTCATGCTGATTTGAAGGAACAAGTGAAGGTTAAAATTTTTGACAATGCACTTAATCTTTCTATTCAATCCTGTTCTTTTCGTTCCGTTTTGAAATACATTTATCAGAAAGATTGATACTTACAGTCGATTTCTGTAAAAGGAATATATCTTGTTATTTTAGAGTTATTCATTCGTGTACCAGCATTTACAATTCATATCACACAAAATATGTCATAATGACTTCAATCATTCGATCAAGATTTTACAATACACATTTTTGACCTTGATGACTAATAAATGGACTAATATTAATTATCAATAGAACAAAAACAATACTGTGGATTCATTATTATTCGTTGGATACTAATTTTCGTGGATTTCGTGGGTACAGGTGAGCCACGAATTCAAATGATCAACGAATTACACATTTTCTATATGCTTTGTATGCAGAGATTGGCAAAACTACGAAATTAAATATCCACGAAAATGAAAGTTTTCCTCAATCCACGAAAATTGATACCCACGAAAATAAATGAATCCACAGTAACAAAAAAAGATTTTTAAGAATGCGTATCAAACGTTTGATGGGCAATAAAAATGTTAAGTCACTAAATAAGAGCATACAATATGTATGTTCAGACCTAAACAAAAGGTTAACTCTTATACCAGAGCTTTATACGAACTGAACAACATCTATGTTATAATTTCTGTTAAGACCATTCGATTGAAACACTTATCCATGGTAATACTCAATAACTGTGATAAAAAGAGTGTAAATAAAATTCATATTCTGGTTCACCACCATTTAATTATTAATGAGGTTTTTCAGATGTTCCATAAAGGATAACATTTTCGTCTTTCTTGAAAAAAAAGAACAAAATAGATAGAAATGTGGTACATCTTTGAGAAAACTTACTTGTATTACATGTTATTCCAGAATAACCCGCATCGCAAACACAGCTATATGACGCTTTACTATTTATACACCTGCCGTGATGACAAGGGTTTCGGCTGCAGTCTACAATCAACAAATTACATTACACAAATATACAATATAACTTTAAGTCATTATCACATAAAAGTTATTATCAATGTTCAAAATGTAAAACAAAAATTGCATCGGTCACAAATTTGTCAATAGTTTATTAACTTAAACCTTTTCGTCCGAAGTTCAAAACGAAATTCCATTATCGTCTTTGATATTTAATAAACATATTTTTTAGCGTTCCTGATGAAGGGGAATCTAGAAAAGCAACCTCGAATGTACTAAATTTATATATATATTCATTTTGAAAAGTTCATCCTTTAATATATTTAGGTAAGAAATTTACAAAGCGCAGCAAATTTTCTCATGAACTCCTCTCTTAAACTGGTACCAAAATGTAACCATATAGGACGCAAACAATGTTTGTTTGCTTGAAAACAGTAAGTAATGATAGTAATAATAGTGATACCAGTGCTTATAATAATATTAATGAATAAACACGTTTACATTTTGTGCGACTGTCATGCAAGTGAGAGGTTTAGAACCAGATTTAGTCCACCATTTTCTACATAAAGAAATGCCTGTACCAAGTCAAGAATATGACAGTTGTTTTCCATGCGTTTGATGTGTTTGAGCTTTTGAATTTGCCATTTGATACGGACTTTCCGATTCGAATTTCCCTTGGAGTTCGGTATTTTTGTTATTTTACTTTTCCTAAGCAAACAACAGAACATATTATATCTAAATATCCCCCGAATGGGTATTTTAACTGATTCTTTATTCAACATTTACTTACGATTGATGACTGAAATAAAAATTAAGTAACCAAACATTATCTTTATCTGATTTCATTTTTGATAATAAACTTATTGGTTCTTTGAAGGTTTGCAATTTATATTTAAATTGAATTATTAACGATTGTCTTTCACAGTAATAACGGTTATATTTATCTTTGATATAGAATGAATATATTGCTCTCCATGTTTAACGCTTATGGTCTTACACTCTGTCGATCCATGTAATTTACTATTTCACAAGGTTTTTATTTCTAAAGACTGCTTTGACATCGTTCCACTAATCCGTTGGAGGTGTACTGATTGATATTTTGATTTGGAAAAAACACGGTCTACTTATTACTGAAATATGGCTTTGAGATGGTTTTCTTCAGTAACTGTGAGTACTCTAAGATCCTTTTGTTACTTGGTTTTTGCCCTAAGTATCGATCTGATGTGTCTAGCCACTTTTCAACTGATTCTCTCGGTTTGTTCTTAGAATAAGGTTGTACTGGTGAATTACAATAGTCTATCCTAGCATTAGGAAAGTGCCTATAAACCTGTGTAATCTCGACACATTTTATATGTGCCTGTTTCAAGCAGTTCAGTGACTTTCGTTGGTTGATGTCGACGATACTTTGTTTTCGATATAGGCATTAATCTGTTTTTTTGCTTCTAAATTGTTTCACATCTGAACTTTTCCAGGGTACTATATTATATTCCTATATGATTTGAGTTTGTGTATTGGTTAAGGAGATACCGCGAACTCTACATGGAGTTGTTTACATCTTGTGTTACTCAAATTGATTTCTTGTATAAATTTTCTATAAATATCACTACCTGTTTCACAATTATGTCCTGTGTATCCAGCATAGCAAACACAGAAAAAGGTTGAAAGAGAGTTGACACAAAGTCCTTGTATGCAGGGATGAGCTACACAATCTACAATGGATAAAGTGTAACTGAATTTGAGAGCGGATTGATACGATAAATAACACTATGTCAAAGGTCACCATCACAGTTAGACATTAGAAGTCCACAAATCACTGATTTATTTTATTTATGAATAAAAGTGTTACTTCTTAACAAATAATTTTATCAGTTTTGTTTCAAATGCATTCATTTCAAAACATTTTGTTGAGATGGAAGGTTTGAATTTGTTTGTATTCACACTGTGCCCAGAAAGTGTATTCATGCGTTTGAAAATAAAAAAAAATCATCTAAAATTAACTGTATGTTTATTTCTTTTAATTGAACTCGATATGTACATTGACAAAAAAACTTCGTATATCGTAAATTACATAACGAACTATAACAAACTAAAGAATACACCATTAATGATGATAGGAGAAAACAGTGAAATACATATAAACGAAAAATTTAACTCAAATCAGCGATAAAAGACACATTTACACATACATATGTAACCAAGTTGTGTTAATTCTTTTTAAAATCTATGTATTTCATAGAAAGAAAATAAAAACAAACATCACCAATGTCATAAATGGTAAAGGATATGAATTCAAACTTAATAATATCGTGACCCTTATCCTGCGACAAAACAAATCGACCAATATACCCATAACAACCCCATAGAGCAAACAACCTTTACAGTACAAGGAGTACAGCGTTAAAAAATTTCAAAATTTTTCATTGTGACAATCTCTATCATTTAAGGCAACGTTTTGGGGATTTAGTTGCAATGTTATTTCTACGAACACTAATAATAGGTTCTACCCCACACATTCTTTGATACAATATATTAGATATATGTTTCCGCTCGAGATAGTTCCCTTTTCCGCGACTGTGACCTACCGAATTAGACTTATTATCGAGTTTGTACTTACATGTGCAACACGACGGATGCCACATGTGGGAGAGGATCTGCTTACACTTCCAGACACCGTAGCTTACACCCAGTTGTTCTTGGGTTCGAGTTGCACAGTCTTTAGTTTTCTATGCTGTGTTTGTAAACTGTTGTTTGTCCTTTGGTTGATTTTAGTTTTTTGCTATGGCATTGTCAGTTCGTTTTCTACTTCTAAGTTTGATAATCCCGTTAGTATCTTTCGCCTCTCTTTGATATGTTAAAATTAGTTTTGAGTTAGAGATCGGATTTATATAGTTATCATTAATCGACAGGTTGATGAAGTAAAATCTGTTTCCTAAATAAGCTAGGGAAAATTTCCATACAAAGAAACAAAAGTCACAGAAGGAACTACAAAAGTGCCATGTATGGCGTATATGTGGCGGGAATCCACCCCCCCCCCCCCCACCCCCCAAAAAAAACTTCGACCAACGTGTGGTTTATCATAATTTATCAAGCTTCTCAGAACACGTCTAAATGCACAGAATTAGTTATTCTGATATTTATAAATCAAGATATGTTGATACTTACGATCAATAGCTGAAATACAACAAAATTACTTATTACTCTAAATTGAGTGGCAACTTGATACGAACATGAGATTCAATTTGAATTGTATAACCAAAGTTAGTCATAATTCCTTAATATTCAATTAATACGAATGCAACAGATGCTTTTTGTTCCAGTAAAATGTCTGTATAAAACTGCTCGATATTACTGTAAATCAATTAACACTACTACTGTAAATGTAAGAATTATTGCGTGCATTTGTTATTGCCTATTTTTTTCTGAATGGACTAAACTGCGAGATTAATTTTCGCGGTTTCAGGAAATACAGTTATATGTATCTGATTTAAGAATGCGAGTTCTATTCAATCGCCTTTGTTTTGCATTAATAATAACCTCGCAATAATTTCTGAATTTACAGTATTATATTTCGGTTCATTTAGAAAACACTAACACACATACCTGTGTTACATGTATTTCCAGTATAGCCTTTGTCACATTTACAGCTAAACCCTAATAAGGAGTTTGTACAGGTTCCATGAACACAAGGATTTCTACTGCAATCTACGCAAATACAATCAAATATTAAGACAGAGTATAATATAAAATATTTTAACGTTTTTGTTTCGAGCGTCACTGATGAGCCTTATGTAGACGAAACGCACGTCTGCCGAAAAAATTTCAATCATGTTATCTATGATGAGTTTATTCGTAACCTTAAAACTGATGTTCCTCAGTTTATAAGCCATCAACTCAGCAGAAACAGTATATATGAGTCATTATTGATTAGAAGTATCAAACATGTATGTTTGTTTGCTAATGTTTTGCATATTTTTATCAAAATTATTTTGAAAAAGAAAAGTTATAACAGTAGGTTTAACTACATGTTTTGTCTGGTAAACATATTTTAGTTATCCTTTAAGAATCCTTCGTCTCTCTTTTATATATTGAAATTAATTATCGAAAGTTGATTAATACTGTAACCACTAATCAACAGGATGATGAAGTATAATCTGTCTCCTAAATGAGTCAAAGAAGATGAAAAAAACTAAGAAACAGAAGTCACCTAAGGGACTGCCAAATTACAATGCACGGCGTATATATTACGGGAATCACACGCAACAAAAGTAATCAACATCACGATCAGGTTTAAATGTACGCAGTATAAGAGAAATATCATTAAAGTCACTTGATATTTATCAAGTAAAATTAAGAAAATTAAAGAATGACTCAACTGCAATCATCAATAACTATTTAAAAAAAATGAAAACACACTTTATCAATTTCATGCGTTATAAGCGCTATTCTGTATATGTGGCGGGAATCCACCCCTCCCCCACCCAAAAAAAAAAACAAATCGACCAACGTGTGGTTTATCATAATTTATCCAGCTTGTCAGAACACGTTTAAATGCACAGAATTAGAGAAATAGTATAACAGTTATTCTGATATTTATAAATCAAGATATGTTGATACTTACGATCAATAGCTGAAATACAACACAATTACTTATTACTCTAAATTGAGTGGCAACTTGATACGAACATGAGATTCAATTTGAATTGGCTAATCAAAGTTAATCATAATTCCGTAACATTCAATTAATTATTGTTCCAGTAAAATGTCTGTATAAAACTGCACGATATTACTATAAATCAATTAAAACTACTACTGTAAATATAAGAATTATTTCGTGCATTTGTTATTGACTTTTTTTTTCAGAATCGACTAAACTGCGAGATTAATTATTTCAATTTCAGGGAATACAGTTATATGTATCAGATTCAAGAATGCGAGTTCTTATTATTGCGAAACTCATTCAATCGCCTTTGTTTTGCATTAATAAAAACCTCGCAATAATTTCTGAATTTACAGTATTATATTTCGGTTCATTTAGAAAACACTAACACACATACCTGTGTTACATGTATTTCCAGTATAGCCTTTGTCACATTTACAGCTAAATCCTAATAAGGAGTTTGTACAGGTGCCATGAACACAAGGATTTCTACTGCAATCTACGTAAATACCATTAAATATTAAAGACAGAGTAAAATTTAAAATATTTTAACTTTTTTGTTTCGAGCGTCACTGAAGAGTCTTATGTAGACGAAACGCACATCTGCCGTATAAAATTTCAATCCTGTTATCTATGATGAGTTTATTCGTAACCTAAAAACTGATGTTCCTCAGTTTACAAGCCATCAGAAATTGTAAATATGAGTCATTATTGACTAGAAGTATCAAACATATATGTTTGTTTGCTAATGTTTTGCATATTTTGATCAAAATGATTTTGAAAAAGAAAATTTATAACAATAGGTTTAACTACGTTTTTTGTCTGGTGAACATCTATTGGTTATCCTTTTAGTATCTTTCGTCTCTCTTTTATATATTGAAATTAATTATCGAAAGTGGATTGATATTGTAACCACTAATCAACAGGATGATGAAGTATAAACTGTCTCCTGAATGAGTCAAGGAAAATAGAAAAAAGCAAAAAAAAAAAAAAAAAGAAGTCACATAAGGGATTGCCTAAGTACAATGCACGGCGTATATATTACGGGAATCACACGCAACAAACGTAATCAACATGACGACCAGGTTTAAATGTACGCAGTATATTAGAAATATTATTAGAGTCATTTTGATATTTATCAAGTAAAAGTAGGGAAATTAAAGAATGACTCGAATGCATCAATATCTATTTAAAAAAGATGAAAACAATACTCTATCAATTTCATGCGTCCGAACCGCCTTTCTGGATTAACCTTCACCGGAAACGATTAATGTCATATTCAAGGTGTACATTTATCATGTCGATACTATGTACCTATATTTTGGCATTGCACAAGGTTATGCGTTTTTCAGACTGTTTACAGTTTGTTCTTATGATGTGCGGGTACACCACTGTCCCAGGTTACGGGAGGGTTGATCGCTCACAAACATGCTTAACCCCGTAAGATTCTTGTGGCCTGTCCCAAGTCAGTAGCCTGTAGTACAGTGGTTGTCGTTGGTTCATTACAGTCATACTTGTTTTTCGTCCATTGTTTTATTATAAATTAGGCCGTTAGGTTTCTCATGTTTTCTACGACGGGGCCTTTTATAGCCGACAATACAGTATGGGTTTTTTTCTCATTGTTGAAGGCCATACGATTGACTTTCATTGCGTATTAACACTTCATTACTCCGGATATTTGTCTAATTGGCACGCATAATACATCTCCTTCTTTTTGCGCTTTTCTTTCTAGTTATAGAGAAAGAAATGTACAGTTTAATAATAAAAATTGCCCCCCCCCCTCCCCAATCTGTTTTGTAGGGAACAACCTCATTGACGTCTCACTCTCTCCTTCTTGTTCTATTCATAATGGAGTGTCCATGTATAATATATTCAATTTTATTTTGAAAATAAATTTGGACAAACAAATGAGTAAATCCAAATATTTTGAAATCTATTTATGTAACCCTGTTGCATTGGGGGCAGATACATTTAATATATAAATTACGATTAAGTAAAAAGTAAAATAACAAAAATACCAAACTCCAAGGAAAATTCAAAACGGAAAGTCCCTTATCAAATGTCAAAATCAAAAGCTCAAACACATTAAACGAATGGAAATCAATGTCATATTCCTGACTTGGTACAGGCATTTCCTTATATAAAAAATGGTGAATTAAACCTGGTTTTATAGCTAGTTTAACCTCTTACTTGTATGACAGTCGCATAAAATTCCATTATATTGGCAACAATGTGTGAACAAAACAAACAGACATATTAGGTAAAAATGTCAAAAATAGGGGTACAGCAGTCAACATTGTGTTATAATCTTAATTACTTAAAAAAAAACCAATATGTCAACAAAGAAAAAACAAAATGGGATATAGTCAAAGCACATAAGCCAATATGAAAGACAAAAATACAAAAATTGACCATAGCACAAAAAACAATGGCGGGATGATGAGAACCGAGCCATGCCAAAAGGATATTGCCAAAAATGGACTAAACAGTACAGAACTAATAATTTACAAAGACAAATAAAAGAACACTATAACACGTGATTAAGATGATAAACAGCGTCAGTAGCTAGGATCTATACTTCAAGACCATCATGTATTATTTGTGAAGTTGATACGGAATATTTATCAACAAGGTCTTGGTATCTTCTGATGAACTTTTTTAGAAAAAGGACGAGACGTTCTTTGACATAACCCTGGTTCATCAACTTTCTGCTCAGACAATGGTGACGTTTAATAAAGTCTGTGTAGCAGCTGCAAGCTCTTTAAAACCGAATGAGTTGGGAAATGTATATCCCATATTCATGTGAAGTTGGTATATTGCTACTAAGGTGGGGGAAATTGATAATTTCAAAATTAAAATCGTATCGTTTGTAATAGATTCTGGTACTGAGATGACCGTTTATGTCAAATTCGAAGTATAAGTCTAAAAATGAGGCGGAGGAAGTCGTGTCTGATGTTTCTTTAATTTCTAGTAAACTACACGATCAGATAGACTATCCTACATTTTCCGCTGTACTTGCATTCACTGTGTGGACACTTTACGGAAATAATTTTCAAATCGTCTGGGAAAACAAAATAGCTAAAAAAAACCAGGGGAAAATAGCTAAACAAAAGCTGCGAAGGAACATGAGTCAAATGTTGAATAATGACATAAAGACAATAAAATACAATTGAATAAGGCTTATTTGATACAATATCTCATGGCATTCGTGTATATTCGAAAAGTGCAGACTATTTTTAATCTATTATGAAGTTTGCTATTGATTCCCAGTGTGTAAATTGAATACGTTTGATTTATACATTACCAAATAGCGAATTTAATTAGTTGTGCGGGATCTCATTCTCCTTACCCTTATCACGACCAGTGATAAAAACAAAGGTACACAGAAGTACACACAATCAAAACAAAGGTACACAGAAGTACACACAATCAAAACAAAGGTACACAGAAGTACACACAATCAAAACAAAGGTACACAGAAGTACACACAATCAAAACCAATGCATGATTAGCGCTTTACTAAATACTAACGATTTGCAAGATAACAAAAACCAATGAAAAGCAATACCACATCAAATAAAAGTCGCAGTAATTTAAAACAACCTGAAAGTTCACAACCCTCTATAATCATTTCGCTCTCCACATATATCGTCAGCTGGTCTTCGGAGTTAATTGTCTGCATGAACGTAATGACGAGTCCAGGGAAACATTATCTTGTGTCCTTAGAATCGAAGAAATCATGTTAAAGGTATGGTCATTGTAATCAATTACACAGTTTTCAAAGTGAGAGATGACAGGAAGGGATAATTTTACATCTTTTAATTTATTTTTTAAAACTTGAACGAAGTTGGATTCGTTATAGTGAAATTTCCTGGTTTTTGTTTTTATTTTTTGTCCATTTCGAGCAGAAAAACTTTCCTGTATACTGCATTGGCATTATATGACAGAATATGGAATGTGTTCTGTATCTTTTACTCTCGTGCTGATTTGGAAGAACACAGTAAAGGTCAAAAAGTTTGCCTAAGCATTTTATTCAGTCGTGTTCTTTACGTTCCGTTTTAAAATACATTTATCAGAAAGAATTATACTTACAGTCAATTTCTGTAAAGGGAATATATCTTGTTATTATGGGGGTATCATTTGTGTACCAGCATTTATTATTAATTCACCCAAAATAATTCATACTGACTGCAATCATTCGATCATGATTTCACAATACACATTTATGACCCAGGTTACTAATAACTGGACTAGTACTAATTATCACAAGAACAAAACACACTAACAAAAAGTGATTTTGAAGAATGCGTATTAACGTATGATGGCCCATAAAAATGTTTAGTTATTAAATTAGAACATACAGTATGTAACTGCAGACCTAAACAAACGTTTAATTCTCATTCCAAAGCTATATGTGAGCTGACAAACATCTGTGTTATAATTTCTGTTAAGACCCTTCGAATGAAACACTAGTCTATGGTAATACTCAATAAATGTGGTACGAAAAGAGGGTAAACAAAATTCATATTTGGTTCACAATCATTCAATTATTAATGAAGCTTTCTGCATGTTCAACAAAGGATAACATTTTCATCTTTATTCAAACGATAAAGAACAAAATAGATAGAAATGTGGTAGATCCTTGGGAAAACTTACTTGTTTTACATCTTGTTCCAGCATAACCCGCATCGCAAACACATGTATATGACGCTCTACCACCTATACACCTGCCGTGAAGACAAGGGTTTGGGCTGCAGTCTACAATCAACAAATTACATTGCACAAATGTAAAATATAACCTTTAGTCACATATTTATAAGTTATTATTAATGTTCAAAATCGATTACAAATTTATCAACAGTGTATTGTTATACATTTTTGTCTTAAGTACAAAATGCAATTTCTATTCACGTCCATAACGGTTTTCCTGTTTTTGATATTTAAGAATTTATTTTAGCGTTCCTGAAAAATTTATGGAGCAACCAATGTTTTTTAATTACTTAAATACTTTAACTGATAATAGTAATAAAAGTGATAATAATTATAATGATGAATATACATTGTTGTATATGTAATTGATGTGTTGTTTGGCGTTACTGACATATAACCCGTATCTCGTTCTATTCACAAACAATTGGAAAAAACTGTTGTATTACAATCCTTTGTGTGATAATAATATATCGATTATAAGATGCGTATAATTTGCAGATTTCATTAAGAAAACAAAACAAATATGATATCTTAAAATCCCTGAACGGCGTTTTAATTGGTTTTAAATTCAACAGTTACTTACGATTGGTGACTGAAATAAACAATAAGTATTTATCATTTATCCGAAGACAGTTTTAATAATAAAACTATTGATCTTTTGAAAAAAAACTTATTCCTAAAGGTTTGCAGTAAATCTTTGAATATCGTCTTTAACGGCTATAATGTTTATTTATCCAATTTTCATACATAATTAATATATAGCTTTCCATTTATTAACGATTATGGTCATACATCTTGTCTATCCATATAATTAACATTGCACAAGGTGATGCTTTCCAAAGGCAGATTTGTCGTCTTTTTAATAATCCATTGGAGGTGTACTGATTGATCTAATATCTTCGAAAAAATATATACTTAATCGATGAAATAAGGCTGTGAGCTGGCGTTCAGTAACTGCTAGTACTCAAAGATCATTTCCTTAGGATTGTATGCGCTTAGTATCTTTCTGATGTGTCTAGTCACTTTTCAATTGATTTGTATTCAGTTTGTCTTAGAATAATATTGTACTGTTTCATAACTATCTCGGTATAAGGGCATGGTTGTGTGCCAATAAACATGTGTATCCCGCCTCATTCTGTATATGCCTGTCTCAAACAAGGCACCTGCAGTCCTGTGGCTTTTTTTTATATTGACCATAATTATTTTTCGTTAGGTGTTATAAGGTGCTTTTGAAATGTTTCACATTTGAATGTTTTCAGGTTCTGTGATAGTTTCCTGTATGGTAACAGTTTTGTTTATTGTTTAAAGCGGTACAGCGACCTGTAGTTGTTTAATTCTATTTTTGAATATTCATTTGTATTTCAACGTCCTTATACTTTCAATGCAGCTGGTGGACTGTTAGTCCCCGAGTGTATCATTATATCAGTAGTCAGTGCTTCTGTACTGACATGATTTTTAACATAATTGTCGTAAATTATCCGTTGACAGCTTTATACATTATTAAAAAAACTAAGGATTCAAACTCCCTCTGGTAAAAGGTTTACTATAGATTGATTTGGTTATGCTTATTGTTCCCTATTACTCATATAGCTCATCACGTATTCAGGCATTTCTAAATACTTGGCTTTACTTCGGGGGTGGGGTGTTCATTGTGAGGTTTAAACTAAAAGGAACTTCTGACGTTTCAAATTCATATAGTTTTATTTTCATTTTAGAGCAATACATCCCTTTTTCATAGCGTCTTTGCATCTGACTGCAAAACTTATTATTTTGATTTTGTAAATGTTTATGCGTTACCCAAATTGATTTCAGGCATAAATATATAACACTACCTTTTTCGCAATTATGTCCTGCGTATCCAGTATAGCAAACACACCTAAAGGTTAAATGAGAGTTGAAACATAGTCCATGTATACAGGGATGAGCGACGCAATCTACAATGGATAAAGCATAACTGAATTTAAGAGTGCATTGATATGAAAAATGGTCAATATGTCAAAACTTACTGTGCCAGTTATACACAAAATGGCCACAACGCGCCAATTTATTTTGTGTATATATAAAAGTGTTATTTCTTATCAAAACAATTTGCAATTTTGTTTCAAATGCATTCAATATATAATATGTTAGCAATATGGAAAGTTTGCTTTTATTCGTATACACACTGTATGCACATAAAGCGTCATCATATGCGTTGGATTATTTGATCAACATATACATCTAGAAATAACTGTAGATATACTCATCATAGATACCAGAATTAGTTTTTGTGTACGCCAGACGTTGGCGCGTTTCGTCTACAAAATACTCATGGGGGCTCAAGTCAAAAAAGTTAAATAGACCAAAATAAAGTACGAAATCAAAAAGCATTGAAGACTCAAAATTCCGAAAGGTTTTACTAGGTTTAACTCCTTTAATTGAACTCAATATGTACATAGAAAAAAAACTTGGTATATCAAAAATTACGTGAACCAACTGTAATAATAGAAATAATTAACCTGTAAGGATAACATGTAAATAAAATACATGTAAACGGGAAATTTAACTCAAATCACCGATAAAAGACACATTTACATATACATATATTTTCAGTTATTCTTAGATAAGCAAAAAACACAAACCATCACAATGTCAAAAAACGTAGAGAATATGAATTCAAACTTTATATTATGTGACCCCTATGCTGCGACAAAACTAATCGACCAATATACCCATCACAACCCTATAGAGCAAACAACCTTTACAATACAAGGAGTACAGCGTTAAAAAATTTCTAAATTTTTCAATGTGACAATCTCTATCATTTAAGGCAACATTTTGGGGGATTTAGTTGCAATGTTATTTCTGCGAACACTTAACAAAGGTTCTACCCCACTATCTCTTTGATAAAATATATGAGATATTTGTTTCCGCTCGAGATACTTCCCCTCTCCTCGAATGCGACCGACCGAATTAGACTTAGTACTTACATGAGCAACACGACGGGTGCCACATGTGGAGCATGATCTGCTTACCCTTCCCGAGCACCTGAGATTACAACCCAGTTTTTGGTGGGGTTTGAGTTGCTCAGTCCTTAGTTTTCTATGTTGTGTTTTGTAAACTATTGTTTGTCCTTTGGTTGCTTTTAGTTTTTTGCTATGGCATTGTCATTTCGTTTTCTACTTCCGAGTTTGATTATTCCGTTGTTATCTTTCGCCTCTCTTTGATTTTTTAAAATTAGTTTATATAGTTATCACTAATCAACAGGTTGATGAAGTAGAATCTGTTTCCTAAATGATCTAAGGAAAATTTCCAAACAAATAGACAAAAGTCACATATAGGACTACCAAAGTGCAATGAACGGCGTATATGTGGCGGGAATTCACCCAAACAATTCGCCTAACGTGTGGTTTATCGTAATTTATCAAGCTTGTCAGAACACATTCAAATGCACAGAATTAGAGATATAGTATAACAGATATTCTGGTATTTATCAATTATGATATGTTTGATACTAACGATCAATATCTGAAATAAAACAAAAACACTTATAACTCTAAATTGAGTGGCAATTTGGTACGAACATTAGATTCAAAAGTGGGGTTTGTGTTGTTCAGTCTTTAGTTTTATATATTGCGTTTTGAGTACAGTTGTTTATCTTTTCGTCGTTTTTCGTTTTTGCCATGGCATTGTCAGTTTGTTTTCGACTTATGAGTTTGAATATCCCTTTGGTATCGTTCGCCTTGCTTTTAAAGAAAAAGACTTATCGAACCTGGGCTTTTACTCACAACGTACTGAACATTGGTATTTTGCCGTCGTCACATTATTTTTCAGATATCATATTTTTCCTTTTGTGTATCATATATCTCATGTATTTTGGATTAATTTTATTCTTTGTGGGAAACACTTATTGTTCTCATTCGTAATAACCGTTAACGTTGTTTGTATTTTGATTAATAATTATAGTATACATTCAATAGATGGTACATCGTATGATACCCAGAGGCTTCTTTGAACTATTGAATTCATATGAGGATCTTGATGGGGATCCTTCATTTCTGTATTCTTTTATTTTTTAGGCCATTTATTTCTATTCTTTATACTTTTTGGCCATTACTCTTTATTTGTTATATTTGGCACCTCATTATTCTCTATTCTTTTTGTTTGTTTGTCCATTATTCTCTATTCTTTTTGTTTGTTTGTCCATTATTCTCTATTCTTCATTATTCTCTATTCTGTAACCCCCCGTCCACACTCTCTCATATGCTTGTCGTAATTACAATTTTTGACCTTTTGTCCTTAGTCTATCATTTTTCAGAGGCCATTGATCGCTTTAAAATGTTTTAAGCCGTAGAACGGAAATATCTTATTCCTAAAGTATTCGTTTGCGATCAGAATGGAAAAAAAAAACAAGCAAACAAATTTGACAAAAACTAGAAAGTAAATTGAAAAAAGAAAAAAGAAAAAGAAAAAAAGAAACAATGAAAAAAAGTTGACTAACGGTTAAAG